TTGTTGTTTGTTGTTTGTTGTTTGTTGTTTGTTGTTTGTTGTTTGTTGTTTGTTGTTTGTTGTTTGTTGTTTGTTGTTTGTTGTTTGTTGTTTGTTGACATCTGTCTGTTATTTTCTTGTTATTTATTTTTGGGTTGTTTACTAATAGCAAATATGCCAGTCATGATTGTTTGGGATCCTGTATTGCACTGGTGGGAAGCTTGTTGTTTTTTCTTCTATTCTTGTTCTGGTACTACTAGTAGTAGTAAGAAGCAGGTTGGTTTTTGTTTTAAAATACACAACAAAGTGTTGGTATGGGACAATATACAGAGACAACACAGTATTGGTCATTGGTTTGCCTGTTGTTTGTGCTATGTGTTCTGGCTGGCAGTCATTCTTCATTGTTGTTTGTCTTCTTCACTGTTGAATTGTTGAGGTATGTCCTTCTTTTTGGCAAGTTTAATGCTGTGGTGATGATGTTCATGATGTGTTGGAGTGGTGAATCTTTTCTCCATCACATTATGTCTTATCCTACTGTGGCACTGGAGAATGAGTGAACCAAGGCCCCTGCTTGTTGAGGTACTAAAGAACTAGTTGTAGTAGGATTAGGGGGCAGTTTTTTATTTGCTTCTTCCATCTGTCCATCACTTAAAACAATCAAAAAGAATAAAGAATAAGACATCCCTCTTCTCAGTGCTAGTACAGTACTAATAGTATGAGATTTGATTTTTATTTTCACTTCCAGCAGTGAACAACTGTAAAAGACTTATTTCTGTTTCATTCTCAGCAGGCGAGTCATTTGGAAACTGTGTTGAAAATAGGCCCTCAATTGTTATTTTTTCCAAAAACTAGCTTCTTGTATACCCTGCAGATCAAGGAGAAACAAAGAGAATTGTTTCTCTTTGTTTGTCAACAACCAGCAATATTCTCATTGTTTCTCCTCCCTGTTGGTGTAACAAAGAGAAACATAAATAATATTGGCCGCCTCTCCTTGTCTCACCTTGTTTCGCCTTGTTCAAATAGAGAGAAACAAACAAAATAATATTGGTTCATTCCCAAATCCATAAATCCATAGTTAGTGGCAATATA